CTACAAAGGTCGTCGCTGGAAATTCGATCATTTCTTTTTCCATCCATTCGTTGTTTGAATCCTCAGGTCCGAAAACGAGACTGACGAACGAATCCATTTACGGGGCGAGTATAAACTGTTTCTACGAAGAAGGAAGCTTCGAATTTGATTGCACGACCTAGTACAGTAAATCCTCGATGAGGGTTCGAAAGCTCCTCGGCACTTAACATTAAATATTTCATAAACTAATGGCCATATGCGAGTGAAATAAATATCATTAGTTTCAGTATTCCAAACTCGATCACTGTATTAAACATAATTAAAAAGTTGGTGTTACACTTGGGGACGTATTCTTGACAGTGCCGAGGAGGCTGCGAACACTTATGATTTACTATAGATTAGAAAAAGAGGGTGACTGTTCAGGTACGAAGATGAGTCATGATGTTAGCTCAAAGAACTTCAGGAAGCTATGGAAGTCCTTGTAAACTGTCCAGTATAGTTGGATAATCCATCTTCATTGGAGCCAATCCGATTTTGTAAAGAGACACGATGTAATTTACTGTAGGAACAACGTGAACAGAAGTTTGTTTTTTGGCCACGTGAATTGGTAGCAAGGCAAGAAGAATGGCACCGATCATGGATGATATTACGATAACGAAGGATCGCGTTGAAAGAGATTTCCAACGACTCCCGTGAAAAACACCACCGGCGGATAGGAGCATCGTATTTGAGATCGAACGAGCGAGTGGCGGGATTGTTATCGCGGTGCAAATATAATTCACGGGAATCAATACCGTTCCATCATCCGGCTGTGTCTTTCCTATTACGCGTCTGCCTCTGTTTTGTCATGTCCAGGGCGGAACCGTGATGGACAATGAAGATGATTCATTTTCGACACGTTTCAAACAGGCAGTCGACAATGATCGGGCCGATAATAACGAAACTCAAGTAATGCGACGCATTCGTGCTTTATTTCGAAATATTTATTAGATACCCCGCATCCCCCACGCTCTCGTTATCTCTGTTCCCCCCTCCCCTCCTCTGTTTGGCAGTCGAATGGGTACCACATTGATCGCTGGCCATTATCACGGATTCAATTGGACGCTTCGGCATTCGATAATCCTACTCATAAAGCTAGCTTCAGACGTCATTTTCGATAAATAAATATAAACACAGCCCTACTTGCTTTTGAACTTCCTTAGTAAATTTCCAAAGATCTCTGTTCCTGACCCCTCCAAACACGTTCCTTATTATAATTCTTCTAGAACAATGTTTCCCAATGTGGGGGAATTTGAATACTTTAGGGGACAAAATTAAGAAATCATTGACATTCATTACCTTATCGAGAACAGTTTTATCTATGTGCCTTTTTTATTCGAGGCAGCTATTAATGTTAAACTTTTTCAGAACTTGGTTTACTACTAGATGCTAGGGGGGCATCGAGATCTTTGAAGCGTTCAGGTGAATAAAAGTATTCTGCAATTTCACAACTATCACAAGCAGTATACTAATGTATTTGGCACTTGAGCACAAATAAGATTACAAATCAGCGAGGTATTCGTCATTCGAATACTTTTTGAAATGCTTTTTACTCATCACTGGTCCCATCACGTTCTCAACGCGTCCACAACAAGACGTTGCGAACTCCCGGCGCGGGCGACGGAAGCATCATGAACGATTCCACGCAGCGTGTGTCTCTTTCATCGAGGGTTCCCGCGGATCGAAACATTTCGTACACAAGAGTGTTCCCCGGCCGTAAGGTGTACGAGTCACGGAATTAACGTCGTTACCTTTTACGGCCGCCTCGTCTGCAGAAACTGATTCGTTGTAAGGAGAAAAACGAGCGAGGACAGCACGTAACACGACGAAACACCGTCGTTGTCGCGCGGCGTTTCACGATCGTCGGGGACGGAGAAAACCGTTTTCTACAGGGTTGAAGGGGAGGGGACGGATGGTGGCGCGAAACGTGGACTCTCGGGGATGGAGGCGACGACGATGGAGGGAGGCAAATAGAGCTTTTTCGAAGACCTTTGTCAGCGTTTAGTACTCAGACGACCGTAAGAATTTTTCCGCGAGCGTCGCGATCTACCGTATGGTTTAATGGCTATGCACATGTTTTTCGTAGACGGCGGAGGTTTTTCTCGTAAATTCCGCGGGTTACCCATTCGTCGACGTTAATTCGCTCGTAGGGGTGGCGCTTCACGTATACTCCCGAATAGTTTGAACGCGTTTCGAATAAATTTTTCGTGGCTTCGGTTTATCTGTCTTCTTACGGGAAGAGTTACGGTATTTCGTTCCTCTTTGATAGTAAATATTTCAGAATTTTTTTGTATTCTAGATCTCAGCGAAGTATCCACTATTATTTTGTCTGAAGTTTCAAGTGTTCTAAGAATTCTCTTATTTGGTTAGAGGATCATACGTGGTACCGTACAATCTTCTTAAATTGACACTGTCAATAATTTATAGTTTTATCTACACGAGTACAGGTTTATAGAGCCCACTCGATGTATATTGGAGACTTTTGCCTGGTAGCTAACCGATTACATCACCTCCATCTTCGCGATCATTTGATACTTTTCATATACCAGGTCTAACAGTCAGGCAATAAACTTTTAGAGAAAACTAGATGGATTTTATTAGACAGAACAGAACATCGACTATCATTTCCGCCTACAGTAATCTTCCGTTACGTCATTCTGTTTCTAATAGTTGCCCTCCCACAGTATCTTCCATATTACCAAAAAAATGTGTCAACTCTTGCCTGCTTCGTAATAACTGCCACGAAACAAACCTCGTGACCTATCGTCATCATTGCTCAAAGTGAAACTGAAAATGAAAACAGGTGAATGTCTCTTCGATGGCATTGCAAATACTTATTGGACGGTGTCGTAAATGTCACCTAACAGTCCAGAAACGGAAATTCCTGATCAACATTGGCAATCGATAACCAAAACCACACAATGACGCGAACGTTACGCTGGAAGTGAAATTTTAAAATGGAAACAGGTGAATATCATGTCGATGGTATGTCGAGTACCCATTCATTGGATGATGGCATAAATGTCACAGTCCAGAAATCGAAATTCCTGATCAACATTCCGGGTCAATAACGAAAACCAGATGATTACGCGATCGTTACGCAAGATCGGGAATATCTTGGACGTCGATGTGTCCAGTAGAGAATCAACTTTCGTCCAAAGGAGAATGGGCGGGGGGGGGGCGAGGTGACCGTAAAATCGGATCTCAGCGTTTCGAAATCCGTCGCACGCGGTCCCGAGAAAATTCTGCGGGAAAATTTTCTCCCCCGGCCCGGTGTCGTTTAATTTGCATCTACTTGCGGACTTAATGATCGTAGACGCGCGTTGTTCCCGCGTAGTCGTGGGCACCTGTGGGGCTGGCGCGTAATGAAATTCGAGAGGAAAATCAGCGTGAACGGGTTCCGCCGCGAGCCGGAGTCGAGAGGCCGACATTTCGAACGTGACGTGGCCAGTCCCATCATTTTATGCAAATAAAAGGAGAACGCTTGATTTCCCTTGGTGTTAGGCAACGACGACGACGACGACGACGTCGCCGTCGACGATGGAGCACGGCCAGATGCTGACCGGAAACGCGACCTGTGGTTCGACTGGCTTTTTGGATTATTCTCTTAATGGGAACAGATACATGAGCGCGCTCCTGTCGTGAGCAAAAATACACTGAAAATAGTCGAATGACTTTTACATTTTCTCGACCGAAGTAGCTATTAAAGGAAGTAAGGATAAATCGTGTAATCTGTATACATGTTACAGTAGAAGCGTTAATTCAGTAAATGTATGTATTTCCTAATCAAAGTATGCACTTACTAATTTGGTTAGTTAATGCATTCACGAGGAACGAAATTTATAGTTATGCTAGTAAATGAATACATTTACTAGAAATAGTATATATTCTTATATTCGGTTCATACTTTTGTTGAAATCGTATGTAAATGCATACGTTGACTAGTATGTGTATAGTATTAAGTAAGTGTATATATTGCCATCTCCAGGGGGCGAAAAAGTGCCCTAATAACCGGGGACAAATATAATAATATAATATATATCTATTTTTTATTTTTTTACAATTTAATGTAAAAATTTTGTTTAAAAAATAATTGTGTCAAATCCCGAAGTCCACGCGATCAATCGATAGTTACGAGAGGTGTGCATCGAAATTTCATAAGTGTTCGTCACGCGAACAGTTCGAGGCGAATGCAAGGTGCGATGTAAGTGGTACAGTATCAATGGAAAAATTTCTCCAAGTAGTTCAACAAAAAACAACTCGTGAGAATTTTCATCCGGTACTTCACCCTCGGATCTTTAAAGTTTTCAAAATAAGCACAAGTTCATTTCCCTAAAAGGAAAAAAGCAGAGGAAAAAAAGGAACGAAACCCGAGAGGATTTCATTCCCCGGTGTTTCCACGCGTTTTCAAGCGCGTAACCACCCCCGCGGCACCACCGCAATTTCCCCCCCCTTTGCGCGGCTGGGTACCGTCGTTCGTACGGAAACAGTGGTCGCACTTAACCAGCCGGCATCAATTCCCGCGGGACCATGGAGGGCACGTGTCAGGGAATACGTGTTTACATCGTCCTGGGACTCCCCCGCTCGACAGAGCGCCAGCGTTCCCAACTATGCACGTCCCGTGCGTTTCTGGTGTGCATATAAACTCTACGTCTCTCTTCGATCGGTTTACACCTGTCGTCGTCGCGCGTGTCCCCTCTTATCTCTGTCTCCTCTTGTCCCGTCGCAGACGGATCGTTCAACGGCCCTCCGTCAACCGACGATCTCTCCATTAAGATAATGAAACCGATATATACATATATGGCGACATCGAGCCTCCATGCACGTGACTTATCATCAGTTAAGCCGCCCAGAGTATATACGTAAAGATCCTAGAAACCCCACCGTGTGTGTGGTTTCAAGTCACCAGTTCGATTTTCGTATTTTTTTTTTTCCCCCTCTTATAAACACGCGGGATCGACGAGATTCGCCGGCTTACTCACCCAGAACACTCAGCAGAACGTAAACGAAGCACACCGGGACACTCGGTGACCGCATTTTTTTTTTTCACCTGCGATCCTTCGAACACATCCGCACATACACACACACACGCACAGTGTTCACCGAGCGGCGGTCTCACGCGAACCAGATGACGACACGCACACGATCGAGGGTGCCGGTTGTTGGAGAACGATACACAGAAAATGAATCGGTTAGGTACGCGAGATCGGCGTGTGGACGTACTCGACGTGACGAAGTCCACGCGGAAACTGGCGGTTTCCGATGGCACGCTGCCGCTAGTATTCCCAACACTTGGTGCCAGAACCGAGCCGTATGCTCGGCGACTTTTGCTTTTGCCTCACGGTTTGCCCCTCGTGGCCCGGCTGTTACCCGGCCAGCTCCCTTCGCCCGTGGTGGGAAGAGGGAAAGGAAGCGGCGGGTGGAGGCGCGCTTACAGCCGACCCGCTACTCAGACCCGTGACCGCCTTCGTGCGGATCGCTCCTCTTTACTCGTCCCTCGGACAGACGATTGTCTTTGGGTATGTGGAGTCTGATCAACGGGGATTTTACGTAGAAATGGTTTATTGTTAATCTTGACAATAATTCCATGGGATCCCTACGAAGGTAATACCTTTCTGACCCCTTCATAGAAATCCGATTCCTAATATTGCATAAATTATTCCTAAATTACCAAATGTTTGTTTTTACATCTTTCATTAAAAATAATATGTGAAATTAGTCCGAATCCAGGTAAGATTAAAATTACGAGGTTTGTCTAGACGGTAACGATGTTGGAAACCTGGCGAGTAATATAGTATACCGATGGTATAATGCATTGAGGATTAGACTTCGGATTTTATGCATTTATTGCCTGTAGGGCTCTGTGAAATGTGATAAAAAACAAAACTTTCTTCGGGTACAACGGGATTTCTATTTTATTGTGAACCCAATAAGATACTTAGGAGGAGAAATAAATATCTACATTTGCTACTGTTTTTATAAGTTACTATAGAAAATGTTATTTTGCATAAGAATCTGCAGTCTACTGATGATTATATAATAAATGTATTTCGGTAATTGTAAGGCTTACAAGGGACTTGCGTTTGGACAAGATTAAGTAAACTGTGTACTACAGAATTGAGTCGTAACTTTTAGAGTTTCTTGGAACTATTGTATCAGGTTTTTCAAAATTCTGTCTAATTTCGACCTCTAAGAAATTTCGGAAATATAATGTTCAAATAAGGCAGAGTTAGTCCTACAATTTTACCCGTTTTTGTGTGTTAGTATAGTGTATGACCGTGTGTTCCGTTGATTGTGACTCGAATCTGAATCTCTTATACCTGAAGTATAAAGTTTCGCTTGATAAAGGTATCAGAAAAGTGTCTTTTATTTCTTTTGACCCCAAGAATTTTTTTTAAATGTTGCGATATTCAGAACCTTAATAAACTCGCTATATATCGAAAACTTCTAATATCTTCAATTACATAAATTAATTAAATTAATTCAGGCTAGAACACTTATAAAATTTCCTGGCGGTTTTAAGTTCAGAGGACACTCGTTGGAGATGGAATCGAACATTGACAACTGCTCATGGCTCCACTGAAGTCTAGCTAATGCACTTCCTTCGTTGTTTCCTTTTCGTAATGTAATTTTTCTACCAGTAATAACTTTCAAGCATTGCATAAGTTCGATACGATCGAATTTCTGTTCTAAACTACTTCGAAAGTTGTATTTTTTATGTGCACTGGGAAAAGCAGCTGTACTAGCTTACAACGCGTGTGCAATTCACTGTTTTAACACATACATTAATTCTTTTCATTGACAAGAAAACTTTTCAGTTTGTCTTGAATTTCTGTGTTTTTAATTTCACGCTATACTGAATTGAAGAAAATACTTTGATAGACTGTAGGGATACAAGGATATATTAAACAATATACGTACCAACACAACGAATAATAGTGTAAAATTTAAATATAACGATTAAACATCATCTGTTTGCTTATAACTTCCATGATATTGACTGATATTAACAGAGACCTTTCTTTTCTGTTTCAGGTAAGTGCCGTTTTAGAAACACTAAACGAACGACAAGAATCTTGCAATCACTCCTCGTTTTCAGTGCAAGAGTATCCGTAAGTACTTTGGAAACATCTCGTTTATAAGTTACATTGAAAAAGAAACGTATTACATTATCAGACACCACTTTAAAATCTCAAAAGTAATAAGCTTAGACCACGAAACTATTAAGACATTTACCTTTCATGTAGCACTTTCTACTAACAAGTAAAACGTTCTGCCCGTAACTTCGAAATACGCCAGCAGAGAAGTAGCTACCGGCTCAACTAGTTGGTCGAATAACAACATTTCGTTACACGGAACTCACGGGGTCCGTCGTTAAAACTAAACCATTAACTCTCATCCGACACGTATTTTCGGAACTCGTCGAATTGGAAAGTGATCCGACCACTTTCCCATGATTTGCATAGATTCGTTTTTCGCGCTGATATTAATTGGCGCGTTTTAAGAAACAGGTCCCGTGCCATTGCTCTCCGAATAAGAGAGAGAGACAGAAAGTACCAAAAAAAATAAGAACAACGTTATGGTCGCTGTTTGTTTCGAGTTGGTACAGCAAGAAATCACGAGGCGAATGATTCGTGGAAAGAAGTGGACAGGCGATGAAAAATTTAGAAGGTTGAACCGTTTGACTTCGTTAATTTAACACGTAATATTAAGTTAACGTTAAATCCGCAAACAAATGGGACTGAAGTGTCACCCTGCTGCCATTTGCCAACGACAGCTCATCATCTTTTATTCTCCGTCGTTTCCCGTTAATTCGTTTACCCATTGAGCATCGGGCGTGCGCGCGTCTTGCAAAACATCATGCCTGGTCCGAACAGAGAACTACTAGCATAATTACGATTAATTACACGCTTTTAATTAAACCGGTTGTACCCTTCAACCGTTTCTTCTTTGCTCTTCCCCTCACTTCTCGGGGGAGTTTTTTTTCCTCTCGCTTCTTCCGTTGCAAGCTCATTTATTTACTTATCCGCGCATTAGCGAGCAGCCGAGATTTCAAATGAACGTCTCTTACAGACTGTTTGCCATTCACCGTTTTGCGGCACAATTTTGTTGGAATATTGAATTCGGTCCGCGATACGGGCCCGTTAATCCGTTGGATTGGTCTAGAAAGTTGGGATTCAAGGTGTTATTGAGCGTCTATACATATAAGTACAGAAGCTATGTTATCGTATTTCGTACATTTAGTTTGTGGAGGGTTACTGGTTTATGTTGCAACATTAGTAGTATCGAAAAGTGTACAAATATTACAGATTACTTGATGTATTTTAATTTTGGTTTCAATTATGGCAAGTTTTTATGAAGTTTCACATTTTCTTCATACAGACCGGGGCGTTGTAATATTTATGAACGGCGGAATATCTCTATACAAAATTTTTATTAGGTTGGTGAGATATAAACAGCTTTTCGAAAATTCAGTGAGGTTTATTGTTAGCCTTTGCCGCGGGGGCTACTTTTACTCCGACCAGATATAACATGTCAAGATTATACACTGTAACACCGGAATGCTAATTAGGAATTTTTGTATGTTAATGCTGTCACGTGCCGACCTTACGCAATTACCCGAAATTATTTCGTTCCATTATTCGTAGACATGTCAGATTACATGCAGTATCAGTAAAATAAATTCGTAGCACAATATAAACTTCTTCATTCGTTTATAAACACTTTGTAATTAATGGTATTTTTCTTGACTCTCGTTAGACGATCTTGATCACACTTGATAGTGAAGTTTCTTATTCTTTTTTATTACGAAAAGTAGTCTGTTGCCCTGACTTCTTTCATAAATTTTCCATATCGAGTACTTTGCTTCTTAATAAATAGATTACGGATGTTTATGCAAATATAGAAATATACGGATCAATTTTTCGAAAGTAGACGTAAACAAATTTACTTACTCTGCTAAGGGTTCTGGTAGGTTTTAAATAGAAAGGAAATACTTGTGAATAAAATTTATGGAATTTTTAAACGTTGTAATTGTAAATATAGTTGTCGGTTTTAAGGCTAGTTTCAAATGACGCATTAAATAATAATAGATTTCAGCGATTATTATTCCGTTGTGGCGATATCACTGGTAGATAATTCCGCGCGACGGGGTGAGAATGTATAATGAATCGGGTGAAAATTACAAAGTGAAAATTACGTGAATTCGTAATCGTTCGCGGTTAGCCGGCGCAAATGGTTACTTATCGCGTCGAACGATGGTATAATATACAATGGACGCGATAACGAGGCCATCTTCGATTTAATTACCAGTCTCCGGATCGTTCGCCGGTCATAAGTGTAACACTGAATATTTTTCGTATTGTACCCCTGCCTGAATTCGAATTATCGTGCTCGATGTTGTTGCAAATTTTATTCCTTCCCCTCTCCAATTGCTTCGATTAATTAACGGGGCAAATTTAACGTGCTCGACAAATACAATAAACGTGGACGCATAAATTATTAGTCTATTGGTCTATACGGTACAATAATTATTCAGGAATCAATAAATTTGCATCGTGATCATAAGAAATAATTAACCGGCGCCACATGCTCGTACCTACTTTGCGTCGTTGACAAACCGGATACAGGAGATTTACCCGGAGCATCCAAAGTGACTGATCATCCTTGTGTGAAGATTGATTGAGCTAATAACAGTACAGATTCTGAATTTTATTTTAGAAATTCTGAAAATTTATCCTTAGAAGATCATTCTCAACAGACTTTGAGTAAATTTACTAACTTACAAGAAAACTTCGATACTTATCCCGAAAATTCCAATATAAAAAACCAAAAACCGCTATTTAAGAACCGATTGTCTAACTATCTCGTGCGGTCTTTCATAACGATTAAACTTAAGCACCTTGATAATTTACCAGCGACGGTCGAACGCATCGCGTTTCCCAAGCGCCGACGAGAGAACAGCGACGGTAACATTTCTATAATTCATAACGTCGACATCGAATAAATAATCCCCGGCGGCGTGTAGCGTAAATAGT